TTGGAAGACTAACCGTACAAGATTACCTTATCTCAGTAGACTAGCATAAAAGATCTTATGCATCCCTGCATCATCAGCAACCTCAGAACAAGTATTTTCAACTGCTGGAAATGTTCTAACGGAAAGAAGAAATAGCCTTAGCATTGACAATACTGAAATGATGGTTTTCATGAAAGAAAACCTGAAGGAGATGGAAAATATCACCTGGCTAATGTTTGAACAAGATATCAATAAAAAATAAGAAAATGTACAAAAAATATACTTTGTTACACATAATGAATTATTTTTTTTCATTGTTATTTTTAATTTAAATTTTTCAATTATTCTGAAAAGTTGATAATATTACCATCAGGTGGCCTGCGGCAAGTATAAAATAGGGGATGTACCAAAGAGAATTTAAAAGGAGGGGGTGAAGTTTGTTTTTTTAAGCTTAAAAAACTCGTTTATCAAATAACCGTCGCGCTCAAATTTCGTTTAGCTTGTCTACTGCTCCTAAACAATTTTGGGTTTTAATACAAAATTTAATATAATAAACTAGTATATAAAAGTAGTTAAATTTATAAATTAGGTTGTCCTAATTTGATGTATAATTAATATTTAAATACCTTTAACAATAAATTGACAATCAGGTCTAAATAATCACAATTTAAGCTTTGAGATATTCAACAGTGATGTTTAACATATATGTTCAACATTCCAATAACTATTAAACAGTAGTAACTATTCCATTGAGACGCTGTTTGGATTTTTTAAAATAAAAAGTTTTGTTTCTGCTTGTGAAGGTAATAACTGCTTTAAAGATGCTCAAAAAATTGGTGTAGTCAGAAACACTCAAGAAGACCAAACAGCAATGAAGTGTGATGGATAGGTTATATTTAAGGAATTTAAAGCTTTTAAATCGTTTTTACAGATCCACTCTTTTCCATTAATTTTTCAATATTTTATGCAAGCAAAATGACTAATGTTAACGAAGTTTACCTACAGTCAGATATAAATAAAGATAAAATTAAGTGTTTAAATGCAAAAAACTTTATTGTTATGCATCAATCTCATTTTTTAATCATTGATATTTTTTGACTTTATTTTAATTTCAATTTAAAATTGAACTTTTATAATATTATTATTTCATAATATACATAATAATAACTTATACTTACAATACTTATACTTGTAAATACTTGTAATATAATACTTATGTTTAAAATAATGATAAAATTTTTATTGATATGAACTTTTACATTCAAATTTTTGTTAAAAAACTTTAATTTAACTTGATAACTTTAACATAAATAACAATAACTAAAAAAAGATAATAGTTATTATATAGATTATAACCATATGCTTATTTATCGTAATTGAGTTATAGTAAGTTAAACACGATAAAATGTTAAGTTCCAGGTAATAGGTCTTATATGATGTCTATCTTATGTATATCTTGTATTTTGCAGCTTGTTCAAGAATATTTCTGCATGGTGTACTCTGACTGTTGACAATATTTGCATACTGATATGGGTAGAGACTTCAACAACCAGA